GCCAATCTGCGGCGCTCCCGGGGCCGGCACTCACCGTGCGCCATGCGCCCAGGGCCAGCTCCGGCACCATGCATGCGCCATGTTCCCAGGGCCAGGCCAGCCCTGAGCACTTGGCGGACGCACACAAATGCCCCCGCGGGCGCCACCGTGTTGGGGACCACTGCCTTAGAGACTAACAAAACACGAAGATGGCATCCTGAGCTTTCTTGGGTACAACCCACTTCTTCAGCTGAATCTCTGAGAATGGTTATCCAACCAATTATGCGTCCATCTTATAGTAGGCCTATCTCGGTTGCGTTTCCCTAGTTTGTCACGTGGGGATAACCACTTGCAGGAGAGTTTGTAAGGAGAAATACATTACAACTTGAGAGTCGTTTGGTTCCTATGGCGATGGGGGTGTAGGATGCAGAGAGGGAGGGAACATAATTCTTCCATTAGGAAGCATTCTCCCAAAAGGAAGTTCTTCTTCACACAGCGCATAGTCAATCTGCGGAACTCCTTGCCTGAGGAGGGTGTGAAGGCTAGGACTATAACAAGGTTTAAAAGAGAACTAGATACATTCATGGAGGCTAAGTCCATAAATAGTTATTAGCCAGTAGGGGTAGGGAATGGTGTCCCCAGCCTCTGTTTGTCAGAGGGTGGAGATGGATGGCAGGCAAGAGATGGCTTGATCATTACCTGTTCGATTCACTCCCTCTGGGACACTTGGCATTGGCCACTGTCGGCAGACAGGATACTGGGCTGGATGGACCTTTGGCTTGACCCAGTGTGGCCGTTCTTATGTTCATTATGAGACAATGAGTAGGGAGCCTTTTTGAACAGGCTGGGGGCTGCCAGGGGTGAAGTTGAACCTGGGCGGGAGGTCACCTTGGCCGAGGGAAAATGCCACCGATATCCTCGTGAAAAGTGGCTGAGCTTTGGCTAATTGAGGCGTGTTGGAACTGCCCATCGGAAGGGGACCGTATACGATTAGTCAGCCGTGTTGTCAGCGGCAGACAGTGGCGTTGTACTGTGCACAGACCTGTTTCTCACTGCCCGTCCCACCTCTCCCCCGTCAGACCCAGAGGCTGAACTCCTGTGTTTTGCTGCATGCGGCTTTCTATTTTGCAGACTATGAAGCTTTCAGCAACTGGCAGGCAGCTTGATTCAGCCAAAACTCCCCCCAAAGTCACCGATTCCCTGGCCTTGGGCGGTAGGCTGCCTCCACCCACGCGAGAATTTAGGAAATGTTTTGATGTTGGTGACTGTGCGTTTTTCACCAGAAAGTGCTCTGTACCAGTAATTTCCCACTATTCTCTATTTGGGAGCCCTGTTTCATTCACTGCCCCTTGTACGTAAGTGACCCGTAGGGACTCTTTGCATACATCGCATGCTTGACAACCATAAAAGAGCCAAAATGTATTACATTGTATAATGTGTTGCATTACATTATTTTGGAAATAGCCGGTGGTTGTGCAATTCAAGACTAAAGCATAATACAGGTGCATAAAGGGGCAGAGTTAAGGTTACACAACCTTAAGGTTGTCAATTTCTATTTTTCAAGTGCTTCACAAAGGAACCTTTGTTTACTGGGGTTCTTTTGAGCTTGGTATGCTGGGAAGAGGTTTAACCAAGCTTCTGACCAGCGAGTTGAGGGCAGTCTGCACCACGAAGGTGTAGGACGTAACACACTGCATCTCTCAAGTCCTTCACCGAGAGCCTTGGGGTTACAGACCCGGCTATGTTTAATGGAATGGCAGAACTAGTACGATTGGTCGTTCTTAAAGGAACAGTTTGGCTTTAACCACGTGGGATGGAATTTGCAAAAGTACTTACAGGAAACTCCGTGGGATTTGCGCCTCACTTCTTGGCCTGCTTTTACAAGTCCTGCTTGTAGCTCATTGCGTGGACCAGCCCCCCAGCCCCAGGGTGGCCCCTTTGTGATGAACCCCTAGCAAAGGAATAACCAGCCCGCCCAGGAAAAGAGAGGAAATAAGTCACGAGACTGGGGCATGTGTTTGGCTCTGGGGGTGCTGTTTAAGCCCTTGGACTGTGCTGAGTGGTGGCTGAGTGGCTGAGGCTCTTGACTGTAATTCTGGACGGTGTGGGTTTGAGTCTCTCTCGATCTCATGGGGCAGGCCACCCCAGCTGCAAAATAGACCTGACCAATTGGGTTAGGGTGGCCAAAGGCAGCTGGCCGTCCCTGTGGCAAGCTTCTCCTGCATGCCGGAAGGTTCTGGAGATGTTTGGAACCTCCTCTCAGCCGGGCTTCGGGGCCCTTGGCCCGGGCTGGCCTTAGAGTCACAGGGCCCAGTGAGGGCAGCGAGCGAACCCGTTGGGATGGGCCTGGGGGCAGGCGGCCGCAAGCTGCCCCGTGTGAAGTAGGCGCACGGCTCCGTGTGCGTGGTGTGGGGGCCCAAGCAGCTGCCATGGTGGAGCCCAGAGCAGCAGTGTTCTGGAGGGACCCTGTGCTTTCCTCTTTGCCGGTCACCTCCCTGCCGGAGGGGGCCGCCGTCTGGATGGCTTTCCCTCCGGCCCGGCAGCCCCTGGCCATCTCCCCTGGGGGGCAGAGAACAGGAGAAAAGCCCAAGGCAGCCTCTCTCCCTGTGGGCCTGGGAGGAGTGGGGGGACCCCAGGTGGTGCGGGGGGGCCGTCCCGTCAGTGCACTAATTCCAGTGATTACCTGCTTGCCCTTCCCTGTCAGGCCTGTCTCGCTCTGCCTCAGCTGCTGAAATTATTATCATTATTGACGTGCTCTCCGAGGTGCTGGCAACCGGCTGCAGGTCTGTGTCACTTCTGCGCTTCCAGGCGCTTGCCGGGGGCTCTGACGCCGAGCCCCCTCTCCGGGACCTGCAGAACACACCGGCCCTGTCACCGGCATTCGAGCGCCCGGCCCCCGCTCCTCCCCCACGCGTGGCCGGCCCTTCCTTTGGCACCCCCCTCCCTGAGGGAGACGTGGGACCGTCCAAAAGCAGCAGCCATGGCCAGGGCAGAGCTAGGATGGCCCACCTCACATGCCTGGGGGGGTGTTGGTCTGGCCCACCCTGCCAGGAGTATGGCTCCCAGAAGGACAGGACCGCGGTTCTGAGCTGAGGGCAAATCCCTGTCTTCTGACCAAATCCAAAGCAGACGCAGCGGGGGAGAGGGGAGGTTTCCAGCCTTTGTCTCATACACAAGGTCCACTCCCCCTCGGCTGCTCGATTTGGGTCCGGCAGCCTCCCCAGGAAGCCCCGTTCTCTCCCCGGCGGGAGGAGAGAACGTTTTCTTCTCCCGGTGGACAGCCAGCCTCGCTCTTCCTTTTCCGTTAGGCCATTGGAGGGGGATCGTTTTTCTCCGTTCCACCGTCCCATGCCCCCTCCCAGCCCTGGGGCGGGAGTGAGTTGTCACGGGGAAGGAGCATTTACAGAGCTCTGTGCCCCTCAACGGGAGGAGCCAAGAAGCATTAATCCGGGCTTGTTCTAAAGCCCATCGCTAATCGGAGAGGAGCGTTTGGACCTACATGTCCAGATACGTCTTCTGTGGCCTCCTCCCCTGTGGTATCTGAACATCTAGCGCAGATCTCCTCACAGCATACCTGCAAGGCAGGGACGTGCTTTTAGTGCTGTTACAGATGGGGAAACTGAGGCACGGAGCGACAAACTGACCTGCCTCAGGCCACGCAGGGATCCTATGCAGAGGATGGAATTGAACCCCCTGGAACATCCTTTCTGATCCCTCTGAAAGCTCCCGTTCCGTTGTGGCTTCTGCGCGGTGACTTCCCAGGGCTGCGCGGTGACTTCCCGTGGCTGGGCGGGGCGCTGGCCGGGCTGCTTCCCCTTGGACGTTTTTCTCCCGTTACTCGCTTCATCGGTTTCCCGGGAGGGCTGCGCCTCACCTGAGGGATGCAGAGGAACAAGGGGGGGATGGGAGCTGCAGTTGTGTATCTCCGGGGGTGGGGTCCGCAGTGGGGTGAAAAGCTGGCCCCGTACAGCCAGGGGGATGGGAAGGGGAGGGCACGTGGCTTGGGGGATGAAGAGGACACAAGGTCGGGGGGTGGAAGCGAGCGGAGGGCTGCGATGGTTGAGACGCTCGGTGGGGATGTAGAGGACGGGTTACTGTCCAGTCTAAGGACGCCGCCCCGTGTGGGGCGTTTGTGAATCCTGGACTAGACACAACACAAAACAGCCGCGAGCTGCACGGCCGGCCCCTCGCTCCGACCGCCGCCGAATGACCCTCCGATCCCGGGGTTTCTTTTGTTTTTCTTGCCGTCCCAGGCCTGCAACGAATTCACCACCCACGTGATGAACCTGCTGCGGGAGCAGAGCCGGACACGGCCCATCTCGCCCAAGGAGATCGAGCGCATGGTCAGCATCATCCACCGCAAGTTCAGCTCCATCCAGATGCAGCTCAAGCAGAGCACCTGCGAGGCCGTCATGATCCTGCGCTCCCGCTTCCTGGATGCGCGGTGAGTTCGCCGGGCTGGGGAGAACGCGTTGGGGAGGGCGGGGCGGCCTCGCCCCTCGTGCGACAGAGCAGCCGCTGCAAAGCTCTGCTGTGCCCGACGGAGGTGGGCCAACCCGCAGGCCGATCGAGGGAAGGCCCGGACCTGATGGGCTGGTGCAGTCTGCTGGTCCAAGAGGCGGGAGACTGGACTAACCAGAGGAACGGGCTTTGGCCCAAGGAGGAACTGAGCTCCCTTGGATTTCAGCTGGGTCTCTGGGGTCGCTCCACTTGGGCTGTGTGTAGACGATGTAGATTCGGTACGTCGAAATTGCTAATGAGGCGGGGGCTTAAATATCCCGTGCCTCATTAGCATAAACATGGCTGCCGCTTTTTTCAAAACGGAGCTTTTTCGAAAAAAACCTCAACAAACCCCATCAATCTAGATGTGGATCTTTCAAAAAAATAAACCCTTGAGGGTTACAGGATCTGTCGAAAAAGGGTTTATTTTTCGAAAGATCCGCATCTAGATTGCCAGGGTTTTTTTTTTTCGAAAAAACTCCGTTTCGAAAAAAGGTTTTTTTTTCGAAAAAAAACTCCGTTTTGAAAAAAAGCGGTGGCCATGTTTATGCTAATGAGGCGTGGGATATTTAAATCCCTGCTTCCTTAGCAATTTCGACGTGGCTAATCTACATCTCTCTGTCGACAGAGCGGTGTTGTCTAGACGTACCCTTGGAGCCCTATCCCGACCCTGACTACCCTGTCGTGTGAGCCTGCCTGACGGCCAGGTCCTGAGCACCCCTCCGGCAGGTCATCAGAGCGGCCAGGCTGGGGTCAGACCCAAGGTCCATCCAGCCCCGTGTCCCGTCTGCTGACAGCGGCCAATGCCAGGTCCCCCGGAGGGCGTGAACACAGCAGGGAACCATCACATGGTCCCTTCCCTGTGGCCCATTCCCAGCCTCCGGCAGACAGAGCCCAGGGACACCTGCTTGCTGTTTTCTGGGAACGGGCGGCTAGAGGTGCAAGATAGGTGACCAGCCAGCAAGGGGGAAAATCGGGACGCGGGGAGGCTATTAGACCAGCCCTAAATAGCAGCACTGTCCTATAAAATCAGGACACCTGGTCAGCCTCCTTAAAGATGAACGTGGCTACCCCCGGCTGGGCTGGAAACCTCTGCCCGGAGCAGGGTGTGGTGGGGTGAGCTCTCTGCTGCCTCGGGCCTCATCCACAAAACTAGGATGCCGCAGGAAGCAGAAGGCAGCTGGACTTTGCAAGCGGGGGTGTCACCTAGTGGTCACAGTCAGGCGTCGGAAGACTCGGGTTGAGTTCCCAGCTGTGCCTTTTCCTTGGGGAAATCGTGATCGCGTCTCTGGGCCGTCGGTAACTCAAGGCTAATCAGCTGGGGCTTCGCGTTCGTGGCATTGCGAAGCTGAACAGGCGAGAGGAACTTGGAAATATTCCTCCCGTCCGCGCTGGCAGCTAGAGTCGTCCGTGTTTGACTTGTAAATGGGGCTCGTTGGCTCTGCAAGCCAGAGGGAAATCCCCCTAACCCACCTGTGCCGGCATATCAGATCTTTCTATTCACTAAGCCCCAGAGTCAGCCGGTTTCACTGCTGCGCTGAGGGGAAAGGAGCGGCCGTCTCCCAGGTCGTTGTGGGATGGCAGGTGTCCGGCGCGCAGTCCCTCCCTCCTGATTTTGTTCCGTTTTCTCCTTGCCAAGGCGGAAGAGACGAAACTTCAACAAGCAGGCGACGGAAATCCTGAACGAGTATTTCTATTCCCATCTCAGCAACCCTTACCCTAGTGAGGAAGCCAAAGAAGAGCTAGCCAAGAAGTGCGGCATCACGGTCTCCCAGGTAAGGGGACGGGCCGAGGGACTAGCACCAAGGGAACAGCCTTGCGTTTCTCCAGCTGAGCCCAAATAATCAGGCCAGCGTCTTCTCGCTGATCTCCACAGCGGTGGGGGGTGAGTGCTAGCCAGGGAGTAATTGGAGCGGAGATGGAAAATGGGGGACAAGGCCTGTTGAGCAAGAGGGGTGGCTTGGAAGGGGAATGACTGGGCAGTTGCCGGGAAGAGAGGAAGATGGACAAGTTGGGATGGTTGGGACATTGCAGAGAGAAGCAGATTTCGGCAGTAGAGGTTAAGGGGGCATCAACAGAGCGGGAGCCAAACAAGACGACAAAGCAACTTCGGGGCCAGTGCTGCGTGTGGCCAGTGCGCGGCCACTCATGCTACAGCATGACCAAGTAACCCACGTGGAGCTTGGCAGGGGATTTGCTTGCCAGGGCCCTGTCAGCAAGATGCGTAGAGGAGGCCGGGGCTAGGGTGGGGTATCTGTCGGGAGGGCCGTGTGGCTGGAATGTGCAGGGTTGTCCCCACCCACGCAGAGCCACGGCGGGTAGTGACGCTGGCGTTTGCTGAATGTAGTGGTGCTCACGCTGGCCTATGCCCTTTCTTCATGGAAACCGGAGATTGGCTAGCTGCGCCCCGAGGTGTTCCTGTCTCATGAAGGGGCGAGTGAATGGCCCCTGTGATCTAGAGCATGGACCGACATCCTAGTGCAGACCCGTTGAGCCTCTAATTAGCAGCCGCCATGCTCGTGGTTGTTAATTATGCTCTGCCCCTTCCTTCTCGCTGCCCTCCCCCTCTATTTGGACGGTAGAGTCTGGATCCCATCGGCACGTCATCTTGCAGTCTTGCCTGCAGCCAATCCGCACGCTTGCCCGGAGCCAGCCACCCTGCCCGGCCTCGTGTTTGCAGACGGGTTCGTGGTGTCATTCGGGTCACACGTTCCCAGGAAGATGGCAACCGTAACTGGAACCAGACCCCCACCTCAGGACGGCTGTTCTGTTTCTCTGGGAGGAGCAACCTCAAATTAGAGACGATAGTTACCTGTAATCATGAAGGAATCGTGCTAATTGCTCCTTACGTGCTCACTTAGCGACCTCCAATCAGCAGCTGTGTCATCTACCTCAGAAAACCCACCCGACCAGCCGTCCATGCCGCGGTTACGCATGGGAAACTGGGCCTGCTGGTTCAAACACATCACGCTGTCCTGATAGTGCATCCCAAGCTTTCAACTCATCCCTCATGTTCCTATGGGATCCAGCAGGGGTCCATTAACTTTTTCTGGCATTTGCCCGTCGTCTCTGCGCTCCCTCGCGCTTGGGACGGAAAGAGCCAGTTTCCAGGAGATCAGCTGTTCTCGTGAGCTGTCTCACCAAACTGTAATCGTGAGACATTGCTGCTCTCTTAAGGATTTCTACTCCTGCCAGCTTTCCCATGTGGCTTTTCAGGCCAACTGAGGTGCTGATCTGCACCAGGCCCCCGGAATACCCCTTTAGAAGACGCACAAACTCCCTGTGCTGTATCCACCTCCGTTCATGCTGCCTTGGGCTGGGCCCCTCGCACAAGCAAACACGATTCCATTGGCTCGTGGGCCCACAGAGAGCAAGACCAGAAAGAACCACTGTGATCATCTGGGCTGACCTCCTGCGTGGCTCGGGCTGAAACTCACCCAGTGAGGCATTCGGCCTGTATCTTCTGATCCAGCTTTTTTTAGCAAGACGTGCCTCCAAGGAAAGCCTAGATCTTGCTGCAAGAGGCGTCGGTGAACCACTCCTGGGTCTCTTTTCTCTGACTCAGAAATGGGCGTGTTCCTAACAATTGGAGCCCATTGAAGGTGCCATGAGATTTTTTTTTTTTTTTAACAACTTGGGCTGTTAATTCCTAACTTGTGGCCAACTTGCAATCTTAGTAGTTCCTTCTTGTCTCCCTTACTTTACTCGTTAGCCTGGGGGAGGAGAGAGGGAATGTTTTTCCCTTCCGGTGCAGGATTACTTTGCTTTGCTAAATGGCCGCTCCCATCCCCTCCGGACGTGGCCACATTTCAGCCATGTACAAGAGGCTCCCTCCTCTCCCTGGGCAACGTTTGTCGAGCATTGTGGGATCCCTGTAGATGGAAGGCGGCATGGAAAAGGGGAGGGATTATGTATCTGTTTTCTAGGCAGCAAACCAAACAGTAATTATACAGCGAGTGCAAAACACTAGCTGGATATCTGTGACCAAACACCCAGCATTTAGAACGGGACAAGAACCTCCGATGTATCGCCCTAGTCTTAATTCAGGCTTGCGACCCCAGGGATTAGCCTACAGGAGACCAGCTCAAAGGTCTAAGAGGGGACACGCTAGAGCAGATGGACTACTGGGCTTCTCCAGTGAGGGGGGTATGCATAGAGGCCGCACGCCTGTTCTGATCTGCTCAGCATAAACCAGGATTCCTGGCTAGATGAATCAATGGCGTGAATTGCTGTACCCCGCAGGCAAGGCGCCGGTGCAGATGGACTTGTCTGGGAAATCCTGTACGAGCTGGCCATGGTTTCATAAAAGGAGGCCAAGATGTTCAATAGCAACGAGGGATGTTGGGTTCCCAATTAGACGGTCCACAGCATATTTGATTTTCAGGGGGGCTCTGAGCAGTAACCCACCCACACCCCCATTCGCCCCATAGTCAAACATAACCGTGCCTGATTCATGAGGACAGGTAGGTCCCCAGAGATTGCTGAGGGCAAGTGTAGGGGAAGGCGCTTGGGGAGTTGTCCATGACTGTCTAGTAGGGTATCTTGAAATGTTTCTGTGTCCAGGAAGCCTGGGAATGGCAAATTTGGCGTGGCAGCGAGTGTTCCCCAGGTTGGAAAGAGGGGGATTAGTTAAGGGGCACATTGACAATTGGCCTTGTTCACTGAGCTTCCAGAAACGAGCTGCCACAAGAAAGGAGCTTAGCACGTCTTTTGGCTCTGAGGTTAGGATCCAATACAGATAAGCAGATCGAGGTCGGTTAAACCCGAAGTTTCCTATCACCGTCCTCAAACCTTCCACCCCAAACCATGAACCTCACCGGAGACCAGAAAAAAATTCAGCCAACTTCCTCCCTCCCCGTTATTCCTTCCTGCTGCTGCCTCTGCCCCGTGGGGCTCCATCTGGAACCAAAATGCCATGATTCCCAGTTCCACGGCATGCCGCGCAACTGGAAGGAAGAGGAAGTCCAAAGCTGCTCAGATGAGTTTCTAAGGTTGGTGGAGCTTGTCTGAGAAGAACACGTCCTCATCAGGAGTTTCTCCATCCAACCCGTCCATCTGTGAGAGGTTTCTAAAGTGGCACCACTATAGTGGCTGGAAATTTACTCTTTTGATGACTGGTAGGGGTTTGGGCCTTTCCTGAACCTCTTTCCTAAGTAGTTAAGTCACAGTGTAAATATCCATGAGGATCGCACCTTGCAACCTTCCTAATGATCCATCCAAGGCCAGGAAATAGGGAATGCCGTTGATTTAACAAGGGGTGGAGACAAGTCTGCTTAGCACTGTCCAGTGTGTAAATCTGATGACCAAGACATCCTGTCAATGGACTTTCAGCCCTCAAAAATGGAATCCGGTTTCATTTCAGCCTGGTTTTGAACAGTCCCTTGGGCACCGATGGATGTTTGCCATGACTGGCCTTTCTCGAGTGGTAGAGGGACAACTCCAGATAAGACACCCAAAACCTGCTTCCAAAACTCAAGCCCAAATCTTTTCGATACTTTTGAAAGTGCCAGTTTCACTACCATGGCTGTGGCTGCCCTTTGTGCTGGTTTCATAGATGGCACCAGGACGGAAGTTGACAGATCTGGAGACCGTTCTCAGCATTACCCTTGATGTGCGCTATGGTCTGTGGGGTGAGACTTGACCTTTCTCTGCTGCAGTTTCCCTGTTTGTCCAAGGACAATGATTCTTGCCTGCTTTTCTAAAGTGCTGTGAGGTTGATGAGCGCAACACACTGTGTAGGTGTCAAGAGGCACTGTGGCCACCTGGTTCCAAGTAAGACTGCGCATGCCAGGTTTGAGAGACACCAAAAAGCATCTGAGATTTGCAAACGGAACTTGTGAGAAACGCAACCTGATTTTGCTGACATAAGAATTGTACATGTTTCTGACGAACATCCAGACTCCATACTTGCAGGTGCTTACCAGATCCTTTGGGGATTGCCTACCCCAAATCTTTATGCAATTGACGCAGCGCAATGTTCTATAAAATCCTCAATGGAGACCAATTGCAATTAACCAATTGGAGCCTCATTGTTAATTTCGCTCCCTGTTGCCCTGTGAGATGGATTCGTGGCACGGGGCCAGATGGTCAACAGAGGTCGACGTCCACCCCAGCCACTAGTCTGGCCCGTACTTTTCCATTTTTTTAATTGCGTCAGAAGAAGTTGCGTCGGTCTTTATAAATCACCAGTCACCCTGTTTCGTTCTGCAAACCGGTGGGCAATCGAGGCACGAAGCATGCAGCAGCCTCTGCAAAATTCTGTTGAAGCACCTTCATTGACGTCTGCCTTTGCCTTTCCCCACTCTGTGTCTGGTGTTATGAGCAGTGGGGGTGCATGATCTGAGTGGAGTTTGGGATTCACAGCACCTGTCAGTGTCGTGCATTGGGGCACCGATCTGAAACGAAGGAGCCGGCCAAGCCTCCAACCATCTCCATTTTCTGACTAGGTTGAAATTGAATTAAGAGCGTTCACAGAGGTGGTGCCCTGCTTTAGCTAAGATGTTAACTCTTTGGTTATGTTGGTCAGGTCTACACACAGTTTTACCAGAGCAAGCAGTGCAGCAGCTGTCAATTCTTCTGGGTTGTGCTCCAAAAGCAAGGTTCCAGATGCAAAATTTGGATCCCCATCTGCATCCGTAGCCGCAAAATGAGCTGTGGGTAGCCACATCCGTGGCTGTGGATAAATTGGATTAAGAGCGTTCACAGAGGTGGTGCCCTGCTTTAGCTAAGATGTTAACTCTTTGGTTATGTTGGTCAGGTCTACACACAGTTTTACCAGAGCAAGCAGTGCAGCAGCTGTCAATTCTTCTGGGTTGTGCTCCAAAAGCAAGGTTCCAGATGCAAAATTTGGATCCCCATCTGCATCCGTAGCCGCAAAATGAGCTGTGGGTAGCCACATCCGTGGCTGTGGACAACTGCAACGATAAAGCGGAGAGCTGCAGATTTGTGGGGCTCTAGACGGGATCGAGCCAGAACAGAAGAATTTCCTGGATACCCGGATCATTCGGCCGAAGGAGGGTTTTTTGTTTTGTTTAATGAAAATCTTTCTCGTTGGTGTTGGGACTCTGAACCCAGCAGACTGGAGAAACCGGAAGTGAAACTGACCAGGCTAATGTCACTGTCCCACTCTGAGTGGAAACCAGCAGCACAAATAATGAAAAGCAAACGAGATTTTTAAAATCCTACCGCATTGAATAGCTGTCTCAGGGGTTCCATTGAAAGCTGGCTCCCTGAGTCCTGTGATCACAGGAGGATCCCAGCTTTTGCAAGTAAGCTGACAGCCTTCACTGCAGCAAAGAAACGCTTTAAAACATGACCTATGCGCACTCTAGAGGCTCACATTCCAAAAGAGCGGTGTGCCCCCTTGCCCCACTTTTAAAAACAAATCTCATGAACGTTAAACCAGTCTCATGCTTTATAAAACAGCGCACTCTAGAGGCTCAAATTCCAAAAGAGCAGTGTGCCCCCTTGCCCCATTTTTAAAAACAAATCTCATGAATGTTAAACCAGTCTCATGCTTTATAAAACCTCGTGATTGTGGAATTCGTGGGTTGCCAGTCTCGTTAATCTTCGCCATGTGCGAAGTCGAAAGAGCAGACCTGTGCACGATTGGTTTTTATACTGCCCTGGGGTTTCACTGGGGTTGGGATAGAGTCGGCAGATGGAATTGCTTCCTTGCAACGCTTTTAGACAAAAACCTGCCGTGCTTAACGTGCTTTATTCCCTGTCCCTAAACCCCTTTCCTCCCCCCCTCCCCCGCCCCATCCCCAGCAAACTGTGTCAAAGGTAAAACGTTAACGTCTTTGTCTTTTCTTGAACTCGCTCTAGGTATCAAACTGGTTTGGAAATAAGCGAATCCGGTACAAGAAGAACATAGGTAAATTTCAAGAGGAAGCCAATATTTATGCTGCCAAAACGGCTGTCACTGCTACCAATGTGTCAGCCCATGGAAGCCAAGCTAACTCACCCTCAACTCCCAATTCAGCTGGTTAGTTTTTTTTTTTGGGTTGTTATTGTTCGTTTTTGTTTTTTAGTTTGTTTTTCCTTTAATCTCTGTGTTTTCTTTGCTTTTCTTTTTTCCGTTTTCGTTTTTCCGTTGGTTGGTTTTTATGTAATTTTTACGACCGCAAAGGATTTACTTTTTTTCGTTTTTTTTTTTTTCCCATTCTGTTTTTTGGTTTGGAAAAGCGATGTGCTCATGCCGTGTCACCGATGGTCACGTGTTGGGGTTTTTGCATGGATTAAAAATTCGCTTGAGTTGCTTGCTCCTCAGAAGGAAAAAAATTGTCCGTGCACAATTGATTTACTTCACCTGGGGCTGAAAGCATGAGTGACCCCGATCTAAAAACCACCACCAAAAAAGACCCAACACTTACAGGATGTTCCAGATCATGCTATTTTCAGTCTGTTTTGTGTGGATTTTTATACTTCAGTTTTTTGTCCGCACCCACCATAACGTCTGGATTACCTGCAAGTTATGTGTTCTGTGTGGATTTTATTTTTCTTTACTATCAGTATTAGCTGAGATCTTCTATCTTCAAGGAAATCCAGTGGGTGGGTTTGTCTGTTTCCCACCTCCTCCCTCCCTTCCTTAGCTGTTTGTGTTTTTTGTCATTTCATTTGCTATAAGGGACAACTGTGTGTGTGATCAGTTCCTCTTACCCAGATTTCAACTCTTTGGCTAAAGAGCTATGACACGCCGCCTGTTTAAATCTAGCGGCAACATGCGCACGGTGCCACCAGATAGAACTGGCGTTGTTCCAAACTGTACATGTTTAGATACTTTGTGCTGAGAGTTGAAAGCGAGGGGCGATTTGGCTCCTAATGTAAAGAAACAGAGGTTAACTTAACGGCTGCCATGTGATTTAAATATATATGTATGTATGGATATATGCTTCTTTTGCTTTAAGGAGGGAAATGTGAATATGCTTAATTATGCATCGTTCAGCTTGGTCTATAATTAGACGCTCCTTTCTCCAGTGCATAAGTGGGCTGATTTCAGGCATGCACAGATGTAGGGCCCTGCAGAGATGTGAAACAGGCCGTGGGGATTTTGGTGTTCCTGGAACTATATTTCTCCTTCTGAGGAAACCTAACGTCACACCAGTACTTGGTCTGACCTTTCCAGGCGATCTCGAGAGAGGTGATCTTTTGACCTACACGCTGCATGAGTTAGATGGGCAGAGGGTAGGGAAAACAGGACAAGAGTGAAGTCAAATAAAACGTCACGCTGCGTAGCGAGGGGACCGTGATGTGGGGGGAGTGGAACAAACGGCTCACTTTTTCTCCAAAGAATCCTTCGGGGGCTTGAAACGCCAATCTGTTCCCTTGCTGGATTTTTATCAGGTACTCCTTTAGTGCAAGTCCCGTGCTATGGCTTTACAGATCGGTTTCCACCACCTGCTGCTGACTTATCTGGAGGGATTCAATGGGAACTACAGATTGGTTTGGGTTATGATTCAGGGCACAAGCCGGCCTTTCACTGTTGGGGGATCGGTTTCCCTGGCGAGCAGGCGATCGCATATCTGTCCCCGCTGGATTGTTTCTCACATCTTTCTCTGTAGCATCTGGTACTAGAGGCAGGGAATTGGACGAGACAGACCCCAGGCCTGACCAGCCCCAAAATTCCTGTGCTTCTGTGCTCTTGCCCCACCCTGCACAAACGGGCTTTTCAAGAGACTCAGGCTTGTTATTGTAGGGTTGCTCAGGCAGGAGTACTCATTGGCAGCACAATTTTTTTTCCCTCCTTTCAAGCACCTCACATAGTTTGCAAACTTCTAAATCCTTTTAATCAGGTTCATTTCTAGCATCCCAGACCCCCGTCCTGTGGCTGCCCCAGGTGAATCCTGCTTCAATGACGGTCTGTCCTTGCGGTATTCCCCACCAGTGACAGCATGGCTGTGTAACAGGTCAATTACCTGGGCCCTCCTCTCCCAAAGCACGTGTCCACACTCCAAAATTACGTGCGCTTCTTCTGGCAATGTCGCTGCAGGCGGCGGGGAAAGGGCTGTAAGAAGGACACTCGTGATCTTGCCACCATGCCATGAAAATCATCCCTTTCACTTTCAAAAAGGGATGTGACCTAGGAAATACCTCAGTTTCCCCACCTGCAGCTCAGGCTAAGTCTGCTTCCTGTGGGGGTTGTGAGGCGTCATTTGTTAGCATCTGGGATCCACAGATGGACAGTGCATAGGTACATAGTTCACCTAGTTGTTAACAGGAGAGTGCCCTCACAGATAAAAATACATCACCACACAGGAGCTGAGTGACTGGAGCAGTAAGCAAGCAGTTCCTGGGGAAGCTATCAGTCCCCTGGACGAAGGGCTGTCTTTGGGGAAAGTCCCTCTCCGGAGTCAGGGCGGGAGATGGAGTTGAAGAGGCCAAATGGCTGGAGCTGACAGGAGCAAACGCTGCAGGAAATGGTGGAGAAGTAAAAGGAGTATTTCTTCACCCAGTGCACAGTCAACCTGTGGAACTCCTTGCCAGGGGATGTTGTGAAGACCAGGATTTTAACAGGGTTCAAAAAAGAGCTAGATAGATTCTTGGAGGTTGGGTCCATCAATGGCTAATAGCCAGGATGAGCAGAGATTGTCGGAGTCTGGGGATAGGCGACAGGGGAGGGATCACTTGATGATTCCCTGTTCTATTCACTCCCTCTGGGGCACCTGGCACTGGCCACTGTCGGCAGACAGGACTCTGGGCTAGGTGGACCCAGTATGGCCATCCTTACGTTCTTACGAAATGCTGATTCAAGGAGGGACTGGGGAGTGCCGAGGGATAAAGAGGTGGGACAGAGAGGAGGTGGAAGCGAATAGAAACGAGGAAGGACGACGGGCTATGAGCAAGTCATGAAGACGTTTGAATATTAGGGAGCAACTGGGAATTGGATGGGGAAATCACAGGAATTAGAGGTGGAAAATACCTGTTTAGACGCGTCTAGTCCCTCTCCCCTCCAGGGTCCGTGCACTCAAGTTTACGCTGAAACCTACCGGTGGTGGTAACCTTGTCAATGGCCCACGGACCTGAAACGACCAAAAGTTTCTGTGCCACATAAGCAAAAATGACTCAATGAAACCTTGCAAAAGCCTCCTGCAGGATATTTCAGGCCTGGGAGATTTGGCTCCAGCCTGCTCCAGGACAGATCCTGGTGGTGTGCGCTTGACAGGGAGGCAAAGTCCTTTTCTGATTTGCCAGGGTGAGGAATTGACTCTCTCCTGGGCTCGTACAGGCTTTCTTCGATAGCATGTTCCCTGGCGCCATGAACCCATGGGTTTTAAATGGACCACGTCTGGAAGCGTCTGTCACTTTCCGTAGGAGGCTGTTTCACAGCCGAAGCCAACACTGTCCAATCTTCTCCCCAAATTGAATAGTATTGAAGGACCTACACGCTAAATGGCAGCTGTTACGTTTCAGCGCTTGTGGGGTTCCAGGTCAGGTTGCTCGAGCCTTCAAAACCTGGAGCCCGAAAACGTGGGCTCCTTAGAGTGACGGATTGGCTCCGTGGTGGACCCGCGTTGGATTGGTGCGTTTAGATGGCCCCTCCTAAGCTGATGTCCCTTAGATACTGCTGGCGCCCCTCTTGCCCTCTCTCCCACACCGGCAGCTTCTCCGAGACCCTGGGCCCTCGTCATCTTCACACATGACTTGTAGGCAGACAACAGAGTGCTGAAGCAGCGCTCCCGACAGCGGCGAGTGCCAGCGCAGCAATTACTGCTCTGATACAAATGCATCTGTACATGTAGCACATTGGTATGCGCATATTTACCACTGCATCTCCATCAGCAGCAAGGCGTATTTAACGTTTATGGAGGCACATAGATTGTAAGTGTACACCGTGCCAGTAGCGGTGTATATCTTCCAAATGGCCTCTCGCACGCCCCTTGTGATTTCCAAGAGACTGCCGCCTATCCGAATTAGAGTTTGCGGCTGTTTATTTTCTTTTCTTTTTTCTGTTCTGCGAACTGGTTTCTTACCTTTCATGTCGGCGAGGCGGAGGTTGGTTTTTGTTGATTTGAAACTGGGAGAGGGGAGGTTGGAATAAAATAGTTGCCCCGGTGGAGACAGAGCAATTCTGTGCCGCCGGGGACGGGAGTGTTGTCTAGCGGTTAGCGCAAGGAGCAGAGGCGGAGTCTTGAGTTCTGCGCCCGCCTTCGCCACTTACTTGCTGTGTGTCCTTGAGACCATCATTTCACCTCTGGGTGCCATTGTTTAAGGAGAAATAACGATTTTCGCCTATCTCTTGTGGGGCTAAACTAATTCTGGTTGGCAAAGTGCTTGGCAGGTTTCACAGGAGAGATGCGATACAAATGCAAAATAATATTATTGTCATTTTGCCTTTCTAGTGATGATGATAATAATAATAATAATAATATAATTAATAAATAACTCCGGATGCAGAAGGAAAATGGAAGTTGTTCGCTTGCTAAACAAGAGATGTGGAGGATTCACTATTGCTGCATACTGACTTGTTCCTATTGATTCTTACTCTTGGATCACTCTTTGCAACTTACGGCTGCAGTAGCCTTCACTGGTTGTGTTCTTCCCGGCACGTTCAGTGTCTGATTCACTAATGTCATGGAGTCTTTCTGTTGGCCACGGTGAGGTTTAGGGCAGGCTTGTATCGCCGAGGGATCTCCCTGTCTCCCTTTCATTTTGAGACCTTCTGCAGTTTCGTAGGAGAGGGCCTTGTGAAGAGAGACTTCAAGTATCTAGAAGGGTGTCACAAGGAGGAGGGAGAAAGATTGTTCTCCTTGGCTTCTGAGGACACAACCAGAAGCAATGGGCTTAAATTGCAGCAAAGGAGGTTTAGGTTGGACATTAGGAAAAAATTCCTCTCTGTCAGGGTGATTAAGCACTGGAATAAATTGACTAGGGAGGTTGTGCAATTTCCATCATTGGAGATATTTAAGAGCGGGTTAGACAGGCATCTGTCAGGGATGGTCTAGACGGTGCTTGGTCCTGCCATGAGGGCAAGGACTGGACTTGATGACCTCTTGAGGTCTCTTCCAGTTCAAGTATTCGATGAGTTGATGATTCTATGAGCAGGGACCAGCACTGGCCAAATTCTTAATAGCAGAGCTCACTCATTGACTTCCTGTCCCCGTTTCAGGAGCAGGTTCCATCAGAGGAGGGAGCTAGGTGGTTGATTTGTTTCCGAGCTTACGCATGACTCTCTGTTGGGCAATTCCGCCAAGACGATGGTTGCCGATATGGGCTGCAAGGGGGTGGCAATTTGAGCAGCGCGGGTTTGGGTCTCTACAGTAGCGCTGACCTGGGCCCCTGAAAGTCTCCCTCTTGCCCGGCGAACATCATGTCGATAACCCAGCTTTGCACGTTGAGCTTTCTTACACTTAAAGCGCTGAGCTGCACGAGAGTTTTGAAATAATCCCAAGAAACCTCCCCCCCGCCCATGCGTCCCGGTTGTGCAATGATTTTGTTTCCTCTGCTCAGTGGGCAGGGAACGTGGTCGGGCACCTCAGAGCCGGAAGCAGAAAACCTTGTTTCTGCAACAACCATGTTTCTGTCCAACCCGGTTGTCTCTCTTATTATCGTTGGGGTGACTAGTGCATGCGGGGGGAATCTCTGCTCTGTAATTTGCTTGCAGAGTTCACCGGTGCTAGGCAGCTGGCATGGAAAGGGCGAAGAGATCCTCTCATGGTCCATCATGGTTCCTTGGGTTGCCTAACCAATGACACTAATCTGCCAGAAATGTGGGATGCCAAAGGAGGTTAAGAGAAGGCTATACAAAGCCTTCCGATGGAAGCCTGCTGCCCCGGCCTGATGAATTTGACCAGTAATGGATGTACCGTGCAGCACACCTTTTTATAGCCTACCTCCTCGAACGCACGTTCCACACTTGTCTCCCCAGCCGTCCTCCTTGAACCTCTGTGGGAGTTCTGTCCTGGGGGGAGGACAGAATCTGCCCTTTCCGCACGCGGATGTTCAAAATTGCCGAAAGGCTTTGGCCACGCTTCGACGGAAGGAAATTGGGCACCCCAGTCCTCAAGGCTGGGTTTTGAAAGTATCCGTCCCCCTGTTGGGAAGCTGTGGCAGGACAAGCCTGCTGTTGAAATATAATAATGTATGGCTTGGTATAACCTCACAATTGCACCCTTTTTTTTGCTTGCACTGTTCTTCATACTACTAACCGACTGTGTGTTTTATTTTTGTTTTGGGGTTGCTTTGCATGTCGTTCTTTCCTCTTGGCTGAGAGTTGCGGGGGGGGTCCTT